GATATCCGATATTAAAATCTGAATCATATATATGTGGTATAATTTGCTTCCTTAACAACATGAATGAGTATTCTGCTGACTTTGTATCAGAGCTTAAAATACTTCTCGACGCCCTTCATCACAGGGTGGGATAAGATCTTTGGATTTTCTGTTTGTTATTTGCTAAAAGATTTTGCTAAAAGAACTATAAATGCCAAAAAAAAAAAGTACTGTACAGTGGTATATTTAGTTATGTGAAAGATGGGAACTTTTGTGATGAGAAAATGAGACTTAAAATGTTCAGATTTAGAAATAGTCGTGAAGTAAAAAGAAATGAATTGTTCGCTGCTAGAGGGTTAGAGAAGAAATTCATGTGAAGATTAATTTCTGTTAACGCGCTTCATTTGAGCCATTCTCTAAGATTCATGTCCTTAACACGTTAAGAGAGAGAGAGAGAGAACGGGAGTCGTAAGTGAATGCCTGAGGGAGTAAGTGGGTGAGTGAGGAAGTGAGCGAGTGAGTGAGGCAAGAGAGAGCATGGGAAGAGAGACGGGGGGGAAGGGGGGATGAGAGCGAGAGAGAAAATTATCCCAGTTACCGTCGTCAGACAATAAGAATAAGCAATAGATTTAAATGACCTGGAAGTTGTTTGCAGTCTATCCGCTAGCTGTGGTCTCCATTCTTCAATCTTTTTTTCTCTTTCCATCTCTCTTTTTATTCTCTCTTCTCATCCATAATGAATTCTTGTCGACCCTCCATTTCCTCTCCTTGTCCCGAAAGTTTTTGTTCTTTTTACCTCCTTTTATCATTTACTTTTGATTCTCCTTTTATCATTTACTTTCCTCATTTTCTGGTTATCACCATTTCGATGTTCTTCTCTTCTTCGTACAGGTGCGTTTTCTCTTGAGATGGCAGACAGAATAGATGCATATGAGACAAAGAGCTCAGTAACTTTCTTTTGATATCTTGTTATCAAATCCTTACGAACACATCAAATGAAAATCCATTCAGTTTTGAAAACATAATCTATCTAACCCAGATTTATGAGGTAATTGTGTAAGAAGAGATGCAATTTCTTTGCCTTGTGTTCAGTCAGGCTGTCAGAGCCCGTCAGAAGAGCCGCAGATAATGTCATGGAGAGTCTTTCTGCTTGACATTCCAGCTTGTGGGCGGTTCAGCTGCTTGACGTCTTCATTGTGCTTGCGATGTGTATCTGATTCTGTGTATATATATTTTCAGTAGCTTAATCAGTGCTAAGTGCGATAGTTATTGCAATAATAGCTTCTGTTCTGGCCATCGCCTTTACACAATCGTTCTTTAACAAATGAATTAAGAACAAATACAAGACGGACACGTGCCAGTAGATTTCGGAGACTTGTTTGGGGAACCCGGGGAACTGGTCTCAGCTATCTTATGTATGATCGGGTAAGTCAACGTGACAGACTCAGGATCCATTCGCTGAGAAGTGAAAGATAAATATTTGGCCGGAGATTCTGCAACTTTCATAGATTTAGATAGATATCTTATGGTAAAAAGTGTTACTTTCTCTTCTGATGTGTATATATATCAGAACAGGCGAAGTCAGAGTTTAATATATTAAGATTTGTTTTATGAATTAGCAAATGCATAACAAAGACTCGTTATATAATAAAAACTGAAAACATACAGAATTATGTATATGCTTGCTGATGGAGGTACTAGGATCTTCACAAACACAGGCTTTTACTTTCCTTTCTAACCCCCCTCCCCCCGAAAGCCCTCTCCACTAAGAACACCCATTAGATAGGGCCTCCCCCCTTCCCCCCGCAGCCATTGAGGTGTCTCTGCCCACCAGAATAATGAATTTGTGTAAATAACCCACCCTTGTTAGTGTATTATTATTGTGTACTGACGGGTGTAACAAACGTCCGTGTTATTTATAGTGTGCCGACAAGTGACTCCAAACGAAACATGTTGATTATGTGTCCATCCTTTTGGAGCTTCAGTTACAAACACACATGGCTTAAACACATACGCGTACACACTTTTTACCAGCCTTATATTAAATACATGTGTGTGTGTGTGTCTGTGTGTGTCTACATATATATATATATATATATATATATATATATATATATATATATATATACATATAAATACTTACATATATATATATATATACATATATATTTACATATTTATATATATATATACATATATATATACACAATTACACGCACACACACACACACACACACATACACGCACATATATATGTGTGTGTCAGAAGTGTGTGTGTGTACATAGATATATATAGAGAGATACATATATATATATATATATATATATATATATATATATATATATATATATATATATATATATATATGTACATACATATATAAATATATATACATATATATGTGTGTATATATGTGTGTGTTCATATATATATATATATATATATATATATATATATATATATATATATATATATATATATATATATATATATATATATATATATATGTATGAACACATATGTTTATATATACATATATATACAAGCATACGTACATATACATATATATAAACATACACACGCATATATATATATATATATATATATATATATATACATACATACATACATATATATATAAACATATATACATATATATAAACATATACATAATTATAAATGTACATATATATAGACATATGTGCGTCTATATATACATATATTTGTGTATATATATGTATACACTCACACACACACACACGCACACACACACACATAAATATATATGTGTGTGTGTATGTGTGTGTATCTATACACACCCACCACACACGCGCATATATATGTATGTGTGTGTATATCCATACATATATATATATATATATATATATATATATATATATATATATGTATGTATGTATGTGTAAATATATAAATATATGTATATATGTGTGCGTGTGTGTGTATATATATTATTTATATATAAACATATATATATATATATATATATATATATATATATATACATATATACATAAATAAATCTCTCTCCCTTTATATATATATATATATATATATATATATATATATATATATATGTATGTATAAATAAATAAATAAATAAATGAACAAATATATATATGTATATATGTGTGTGTGTGTATGTGTGTTTGTGCGTGTGTATGTATATATACATACATATGTATGTATATGTATGTATGTATATATATGCATACATACATATATGTATGTGTGTGTGTATATATGGATACATATGTATATGTATATATGTATGTATGTATATGTATATATGTATGTATGTATATATATGCATACATATATGTATATGTATATATATATATGTGTATATATATTTATGTACATATATATACATATTTATCTCTCTCTCTCCTCTCTTTCTCTCTCTCTCTGTATATATGTAAATATATATGTGTGTGTGTGCGCGCGTGCGCGTGTGTACATATACATATATATGAATATATATACATATATACACATATCTATGTTTATGTATATGTATGAATATGTATACACACATACAAACATATATGTATGTTTATATGTGTAAATATATGTATGTATGGTTACAGATATGTATATAAACGAAAATCATTGAGGTCAGTTACACAAGAATATCGGTCATATTTTAATGTTTCAATTCGAGTTCATGCATGACAGTGTAATGAGGACAGCGCTATGGAATGGGACTGATGACTAAGGGTTGATGAGTTAGAAGCTCTACTTCTCCAGGAAGTTGACGTCGGCGCGGCCGAAGTACTCGTTGGACCTCCTGAAGGCGGCGGCCTCGGAGCAGGGAAGGGCTTCCTCGGGGAAAGCGCACACGAGACGTTCCTGGTCGAACATGGTGCCCTCGCCGCACATGAACGAGAAGTGGCGGGTGATGTACACGTTGTTGTCGATGTAGGGCAGACACACGTGGAACAGGGCGCAGCCGTTGCTGGTGTCGGCGTAGTAACCGTAGGGGAGGTCGGCGCAGTCGAAGCCGGTGGTGATTCCACCCAGAACCAGCGAGGCGTTGGAGGGCAGCTCGAAGCGCAGAGGAGACGAGTCGCGACGCAGACGGAGGCCGGGAAGGGCGGCGGCCACGCCCAGAACCAGAGCTGTCGGGAAGAAAATACTTTCATGAACACTACATATACACAACGTTTGCATTAAAATAAGAATCAATAAAAATAACCTAAGAAAAATGTACAATTTAATGGGAAAGGAATATCTCACGTAATATCAATCGAAACCATAAAAGGAGAGACTACGCATGAAAATTTCCACCAACAGTAAATGTTAATAATTTCCACATGCATCCCCTCAAATGTTAACATCAAAATCAAATCATTCTATGTGTCTCAAGGAACAATAATTATATTTTCCACAATTCAAACTGGTTAAAAGGCCTGAGATATCTGCTATGTGAATGAAGCCATTCCCACAAGAACTTACCAAGAGCAACGATCTTCATGGTGTGAGATAGCGAGGGATGTGTCCTTTGACCGGTCATCTGGTCCTTTATATATCCAATACCCCGCCCCCTTGACCCCGCCCCCTTCCCCCCAAAACATCCTACCTGGACGTGGCCGCCAGCCATCGGCCTTAGCCTAAGCCTATTCAGCTCTGGCGGGCGCAGGAGATGGAAAGATTAGGAAATTGAACGGGAAATTAATGATCCCATCACTTGAATAAATTACTCACTTTGCATACACACATACACTCACATCTGCATGGCAAGTACTTTGTATACTGTGCACTGTGGTATTATTCATTAGAATTTTACTCAGAATCCTTAGGTGAGAGACCATTAAAAATCAATGACTCTTCTGCTTCCTTAATTATTTAACAGGTAATGAACGCCACCACCCACTCCCCATCCAAATATATTCATGTAGGTCTGAAATGTAAATATATCTTCTCCAAGCAATTAGAACTGCGAAAAGAGAAGACTAATGCTCATGAAAATGTCGATTTTCATCATTAATCGCTTTACTAGATGTATTTAGTACCTCCGAAATCCTTAGGCCTAAGGCAATCGTCCTCTTCATATGCATGTCCTTTTGGAAGTATGTTCACGCTTCACAAGCTCGTAAATGCCTGTACGTTATTCACATTAACTACCAAGATTTATATAACTGCAAGTACAATTAAAATCTAAGTCAAATACTTTTAATGAGGGATAAAGATGGTACTGAGTCCCAGGAACATAACAGCTAGATACTGAATGAGATGACCAAAGACTTATTGACCCAGAGAAAGAAGGAGGCGAAGGCCGCAGCTGGATTTTCACAAATGCAATGTAACGGATTCACACCCCCCCCCTCTCCCCCGCCCTCTACTCTCCCCTTCTGCCCCGCCAGAGCATCTTTCCACTAAGCATCCCACGGGCTTCTTCTCTGTGACCTTGAGAGGGTTTACGGTTGGTAGTCACGGGCAGTTGGTGGGGCGGTGGGGAAGGGACGGAATTCCGTTTTCTGTTTAACTGGACTTTCGTTTTCCTAGTTATTTACTGTACCTACACATATATGCAAAGAATTCAGTAATGATAATTAAAAATCAATATTTACGAGCATGGATATTCTGCAGCTCCTAACGCTGAGGCATGAAAAATAAAAACAAAAATGAAATGAAATGGAACAGCTACAGCAAAAGGGGAAACGCCACTACTTCTAATCCTCATCAGCCGCTAAAACCGAATTGGATTCACCTGAGTCGGTTTCTTCCCTTATAACCGAGGCAGCCTTATTTCTTCTTTGTATTTGTTACTGTAGTCGTAGTTGTGCATTAATTTTCATACTGATTTCATTCATCGAAGAACTGATATGCACATGACGGTTATCGTTAGCCAGAAAATATTATCGCACTTTGAATCAAATTGATTCTTCTCTATTTCAGTTTAGTTGTTTTACATTCAGACGGTGTTTACCGCTTGATTTTAGTTTTTTAGTTGTTGTTTTTTTTACGCAAGAAATAACGGCGTGGTGTTCACTGTATGTGTTCTGAACATTTATACCCAAACCAATGTTTGTCTTACTTTTTCTTTTATGAATTCTGTAGTAGTGGAGTTAAAAGTGATAGTGTTCGTACCTAAAGCGTACATGAGTAAAGTCGTATTCCTCGTTAATTTCAAATGTGGAGTTTGCAGAGATGATCCTTACCGTTTTTAGTGTAAGACATAGAAATGAAAATTAAAATGTAATACTGTAAACACCAGAATATCAAGGTCGCCATACATTCTGTTCTAGGTTCCTTCTCTTGGGCCATACCCAGGAATGGAGGAGGCGGGGCTAAAGGGAAGAGGGGTATATATTGGAACACTTACAAGGCGTAAACACTGTCTCTTCGTAAGACTTACTGACAACATGAAGGTTCTTGCTCTTGGTGAGTGTGCGCAGCTGAATACGATTTGATAGGTCGTGTTACTTAGATATTAATCTTCCTTCTTATTTTCTATCTCTTGTTCAGTTTTGAATTCATTGCAGATTAGATTCGTTAGCTGCTTCATAGTAATACTGAATTGATATATCAGGAACAAACACGAAAGTTTCGAATCGCCTTACTGCTATTGTGTTTAGTATTACAGTTGTTGCAAGTATCAGTATTGAATAGTCACTACACCAAAAAAAGTCTCTTCGTAGACTGATTTACCAGGATGACTTTTGTTGGTAATATGTCCATTTTCTAAATACAATTATTCTTCATTCCAGTCGCTGTGTTGGTGGGCGTGGCCGCCGCCCTTCCCGGCCTCCGTCTGCGTCGCGACTCGTCTCCTCTGCGCTTCGAGCTGCCCTCCAACGCCTCGCTGGTTCTGGGTGGAATCACCACCGGCTTCGACTGCGCCGACCTCCCCTACGGTTACTACGCCGACACCAGCAACGGCTGCGCCCTGTTCCACGTGTGTCTGCCCTACATCGACAACAACGTGTACATCACCCGCCACTTCTCGTTCATGTGCGGCGAGGGCACCATGTTCGACCAGGAACGTCTCGTGTGCGCTTTCCCCGAGGAAGCCCTTCCCTGCTCCGAGGCCGCCGCCTTCAGGAGGTCCAACGAGTACTTCGGCCGCGCCGACGTCAACTTCCTGGAGTAGAGCCTCGGATGAGGACATAGGGTCGCTCCTCGACATTCCAACCCAAACATCGCTTATCATTATCAATGAGCATCTAATCTATTTTTCTATAAAAATGAGAATTTTCTAATCTATTAAAAATCACTTTCCCATTCAGTCATTTTCTTCCATACCTGGGAGTCTTCACGTAGACGGCATTATACTGTATTGAAAAAAAAAATATTGGAAACCCTTAAGTTCACACCAACCCACACATATATGTGTGAGTGTGAGCAACTATCAAACTTTTTCCTACAAAAAATTAAATAATCCTCAGTATTTCTCAGTAACTTTTCTTCTCACAGTGATTTAATTCACTTAAAAATAATGTTTCTTCCTTAGTCTGGTATTATAAAGTCAGTTAGCAGTTTCTGCACATGCCTTTTTTTTCAGACGTCAGCATTTTGAAGAGAGGCACGAATCTGGGGAAATAATTTTATTTTCACGTTTGGACACTTCTTTGTTCACCAAAAGGAGCTCTTAATCAGATAATGATGAATAATTGAAGTTAGAATCTGTTTATGCTAAACATTGATGGTCTTTTATATTAACTAGTTTTAGATATAAGAAAAGCATGTGACGATGCTACACTTAAAATTATGATCATTAAAGAGTAAAGAGAACAAACACAAATGCTAATGCTTTCAAGTATAATCAAGAAGAGGCAACGTTCCTGCAGCCATATCTTCAAATGGTTTTCAGGGAACTGCAAGGTGGTTCAGAGGTGATTCTCACATGTTAACATAGGCCTGCATGATATCAGACAAGACTTTTGACCACATGTGTGTCTGAGCATACGTTTTTCTCATGCCTAAATTAGTAAGGTGTCCCCTTTTTGTAGGGTTTAGTCGCTGGTTTTGAGAAAGATCTGTAAATGCCCACACAACAAGCACTCGACGGTTGTCTGTAGCATAAGACATCTATATTCTTACACCGAATTGTCTCTCATGAAACCTGCTGATGTCGAATTTTAAGGAGTAAAGCTTATAGTCAGCGATAAGCTTCATAAAAGTTTACATCTATTGTCATTACATAAACGGATCCTCTGGCTCTAAAGATTTACAATCGATCTGCATATATCAGCGACAATTTTAGGATTCCGAGTACCGTGTAACTCATGATGAGTATATTACACACTGGCAGGTTAAATGAACTGACATACGTACGTATCAATTAGGCACAAATTAACAAGCAGCCTTCAATAAGAGACATACTAATCTGCTCTGGTAATGGAATATTTCATGCTTCCGATATTTTATTTTTAGCTTTTTCTGCTTTATCTGGGCTTTTTTTAATGAAATTGAGAATAAGACTATATGTTCATAGAAGACTGAGAATGTCTGTGTACATATTTGTTTGTGAATGAGGTTATCCACTCAAGATAGGCATACCTTCTGCTATGAACATATCACTGTAAATGCATTTAGTACTGCACATTTACCAGCCGTTCTGATATTGCTCATCATTTTTCAAAGCCTGCATATGCTGCAGTCCATAAATTACAAATTATAATGTTAGGTTCGTGTATATCTAGGGTAGATAAAATATCTATCTCATGCTTGAGGTGAATACTGGTGAGTTAACAATATATCACGTAATATCACTATAACCTGTATGCATAAAAATAGACAGAATATATCCAGTTTCCTTAGATTAAAATGAAGTTGACGGGATTCTCTCTCATTTTCTTATCTCCCTTTCCAAAACACTGTAAAATCTTTAATTTAGTAATTAAAAATAGGTTTATACATATTATTTCCTTATAAGTGATTGCTATGAAATGCTTTTAAAATGTCAATTCCAGGCCATCATCTTTCTGGTTCTGTTATTGATTTACATAGTTCTCAACCACGAACTAAGGAGTAATCTTGTGCTATCATCACCGATTTACATTTTTACGTAGATCTGTGCGTGAAGATCCCGGTACCTTATGGCAGGAGGTCCAACGGGGGATACGCAAGGGGATTAACAGAGCCTACCCATACTCACCCCATGGTGTCCAGCAACGCTTGAAAGGAAAACAACGAAATACAACTTCCAGTCAAGATGACTGGATATACATATGCTTACACATACGCACACACACATATATATGCACGTACATACACACATATATATGCACGTACACACACACATATATATGCACGTACACACACACATATATATGCACGTACACACACACATATATACACGCATACACACACGTATATACACGTACACACAAACACACACACACACATATTTAGTAATTCGAAACCGAAGTCAGATGTACTGATATATATATATATATATATATATATATATATATATATATATATATATATATATATACTACATATATATGAAAGATGGAATAAGGCAATGCCGCAGTATTCATGTATATACATTATATATATAAATATATATATACATATATGTATATATATATGTGTATACATATATACATATAAATGTATATATGCATATATATGTATACATTTATACATATTCATACAGATATATGTATATATTTATACATATAAATGTATATATTCATACATATATATGTATTTATATACATATATATGTTGTTAATTGTGTGTGTGTTGTGAATATATGTGTAAACACACATACACACACACATATATATAGAAGGAAGACATTAGCCAATAAATTCAAGAAGAATTTTGACATAGACTTGAATGATAAGACAGCGAGAAGACTTCTGGAGAATGGTTTAAAGTAATGTAAGACCAAGAAGAAGCCATTATTGACTGAAAAGGCAAGGAAGAAAAGACTTGAATGGGCAATCACACACAGAGGTTTCAATTGGGAAAAAGTACTTTTCAGTGATGAGAGCAAATTTTGCGTAATAAGTGGTAGCCCGTACCATTTAGAAGAAGAAAAGGAGAGGAATATATTCCTGATTGCCTGAATCCCTCAGTTAAGCATGGTGATGGTGGTCATAGTCTAGGTTGTATTACTGGTAAAGGTGCTGGCCGATTGTACAAAATCAGTGAAACAGTTAACGGGAGTATTACATTAAAATCTGAAAATACTGTACATTTCTATCGCTTATCCACTACTTGTGAAGCAGTATTCCAATAGGACAATGCTACATTGCAATGACTGATAAGACCTGGTGGCCAAAAGTAAGCTGACAGTTTTGGAATGGCTTAGTAATAGTCCTGTTATGAACCTAATTGAGCATGTTTGGGACTACATTGCAAAGAAAATTGGGTCTACAGTGTTTAAAAACAGTGGTATCTATGGGAGAGGGTAGACAAAGAGTGGACCAACATTCCTATTGACTATATAAGTTGTATGAGATGCAGTGTTAAACACAAAAGGAAGCTCTACCTGATATTGAAGCTATTTCTTTATGTAAAAATGTTTAAATAGGATGCAATTGCTCTAATGCTCTAATGTATGTGGCTATAAATTTATCAGTGATTCTTAAAATAAGTGATTTTCTTAAATAAAACACACATATATATGTGTGTGTGTGTTTATATACATATATGTATATATACATATATGTATATATACATATATATGCATATATATGTATATATACATATATGTATATATACATATATGTATATATACATATATGTATATATACATATATATGCATATATATGTATATATACATATATGTATATATACATATATATGCATATATATGTATATATACATATATATGCATATATATGTATATATACATATATGTATATATACATATATATGCATATATATGTATATATACATATATGTATATATACATATATATGCATATATATGTATATATACATATATGTATATATACATATATGTATATATACATATATGTATATATACATATATATGCATATATATGTATATATACATATATGTATATATACATATATATGCATATATATGTATATATACATATATGTATATATACATATATATGCATATATATGTATATATACATATATATGCATATATATGTATATATACATTTATATATACTTATACTTATATATGTATATTTACTTACACACACACACACACACATATATATATATACATATATGTATATATACATATATATGCATATATATGTATATATATATGCTTATATATGTGTGTGTGTGTGATATTTACATTAACTATCATTTCAGATTATGAAATATTTATGATAATTATAGCTTTTCTAATATTTTCAAACATCAGACTGCACCACTGGTATTTACAATGAACTGATTTCTTAATTCCATTATCAGGATTTCCGAGTAGTAAACATTATAAAGGAATCATTTTCAAATTTCTTCAGAATTTCGAGGTCATTCTGCCTGTGTAGGGACTTCTCTCGGGGGATTGGGGGGGCGTGGCTAAGGGAAGGAGAGGTATATATTGGAGCTTCTCCAGGTAGTTTGAACATCTCCATTCGTAGGACTGACAGGGAACATGAAAGTTCTTGCTCTCGGTGAGTTGAGACACACACGCATACATTGCATGTACATATATATATATATATATATATATATATATATATATATATATATATTCATCTTATGATTGCCTTGATATTCGATGATGCCTCTGAAATGCAGCAAAATAATGCGACTGTGTGATATTTTTTTTATTATTAACATACAACTTAATACATAAATATAAAGTCCTATATAACTTGTGATAATAAAAATTTCCGTCATGCAGTTGCTGTGTTGGTGGGCGTGGCCGCCGCCCTTCCCGGCCTCCGTCTGCGTCGCGACTTGTCTCCTCTGCGCTTCGAGCTGCCCTCCAACGCCTCGCTGGTTCTGGGTGGAATCACCACCGGCTTCGACTGCGCCGACCTCCCCTACGGTTACTACGCCGACACCAGCAACGGCTGCGCCCTGTTCCACGTGTGTCTGCCCTACATCGACAACAACGTGTACATCACCCGCCACTTCTCGTTCATGTGCGGCGAGGGCACCATGTTCGACCAGGAACGTCTCGTGTGCGCTTTCCCC